ATCTCCACTAGCAGATGTTAATGATAACCAGGACTGTACAAAAAAACCCCAAATTTCTACAAGAGCAAACCAAAGCTACCATCCGTACCACAAACCACTCGTATCATCCCCAGAARAAACAACCTCTGCTTCAAAAGAAGACAACATTAAAGCACAATAAAACAACAAAGAAAAGACGGGGGAAATGATGGGAGGGGGAAAAAATAGCAGGAAAAAATAAAAACTTGAAGACAAAACACTAAACAAGCACAGAGGGGAATGCCAATGAGGCCAACACAGAGCAGCTGCTACAAGATACGACAGCGTCACCACGTAGAAGAGACGCAACATGAACTTCATTAGTAGTAGCTGTCACCCTGGCTCAAGGATAGATGCAAGGTTTGCTTATATAAACTGCGTTTTTGTAACTTGCCAGAAACAAAGGCAGCCTTAGAAGTAYGATTTTCAAGGATACGACATGAAGAAGAAAAGAGCTGCCTCCACCAAAGGTGTTTTAGCAATTTCAGTTAATCCTGACTTTGAAAACAAACAACGGATACATTCTGCAAGAGGTACTTGTTGTCTTCCTGCCTCTAAAACAGGCTCCTGATAAAACACTTATACTTAAGAACTTCAGAAGGACGCACCATGATCTCAAACATTTCTTAAAGCCCTATGTGGGAGGAACAAGAGGCGATTTACCCCTCTGTTTTCCAGAAAGAATAAGCTTTCTCTGACACAGAAACACCTCACTTCAGGCGCCTTTGATTTGCAAAGCCTTTTGTCTAGCACCCAAGAATCAAGATTTTTAACACAGCTTGCACTGCACATAGTCTTAGTGACGGCCATTGAGCCAATCTTTCTTTACCTTTTGCTACAACCAAAGCCATGCTTGYTTTCAGAGGACTAAAACGGGATTGTGTCACACCTCTGTAGGTTAACCATCAGTTGCCAACGTAAGCGGAAAAGTTCAGAGCATTCCAGGAAATCTAAGGAGCTCCTCAAAACACCACAGTGCCTTGGAAATGTCTACATGATATTTTTGCTTATATCGTTTATTATAAGGCAAGGACCAAGAGGTTCATAGCAGTTTAAAAATACTCCTTTAAAAGGAATACATACCATATGGCTACCACATGACAGTCCTTATTCAGTGGAATCTGGCAACTTCACTAATTCCAAAGGTCTTTTGGGTTTATTTATTTGCATTTTTCTGGAGTGCTCTTTTCACAGTGAAGGTGTAGGCCAAAACCAAATAYTTTTCTGTGTGTGTTTGTGTGTGTGTGCACACGTGTGGAGAGAAAAGCAAAACCAAACTGCACCAAAAAGCAGCCAATAGTGAAGTTGCTACTTCCAGAAGGAATACTGGTGGGGTGGACTSCATTGCAGAAACTCTCCAAGGAGAGCAAGCCACTGGAAAACTCTTCTAGGAAGGAAAATCCCCAAGAGATTTCAAGGTTTCCTCCACTACAGGAGCCTACACATAAGAGGTATTTCATACCTACTTGGCTGCCTTATTTGTCATGATGTAGTATTTAAATGACAGTAACTTTTTGATCAGTATCGTAACCATGCAGGCTGGGTGCAAACGTTGATTCCTGGGCGCAAGTCACACACCTACAGAACTCCGTGGAAAAACAAGGAAATGTCTCTCTGCAACAAACTGCCTGGGCACCTTCAATGTCAAACGCTGCTCCCTAAACCCCTCTGCCCCCAAAGAGTAATATAATATTACCAGCAACTAAAGCCTGTCTTCCTTCAGCATGGGATGGGACAAGAAAAGCTGACAGTGGTGCCTACGCTGCTGTCACGCAGCTGCTCCCTAAGGCTGCTCCAGCCGGACACATCCCAGGCGCCGGGCACGGAGCTCTGGCCGCTCCGCCAGAGCCAGGGGCCGGGTCTTTACTGCAGGTGTCCCTCAGCATTCCAAGACTGAACTGCAAATGCCAAAACATAAATCGAGGCAAAATYGTTAAATAAAATCACATAAATATTGAATTTTCAAGGAGAACAACACTATTATTAATTAAGTTTAGGTCCCAAGAAGTGCTAGTCTTCCCCAAGAAAAAAAAAATATAGTGATGTTCCTGTCCAGAAAACAGGAGAGTTTATGATAGAGTTAAAYGGKTTTTTTWWWAAAATTAATTAAAAAAAAATCTGCTTATGACATGCGTGCGAGCTTGCCATATTGTTTTTAATCAATAAAAACAAGGATGCTGGAAGAGGGTCACAGAGATTCCAGGTGTTCCCCTCAGGCCACCTCTGGGCACCACTAGTAGAAAACCCAGGTTGCTTCTCTCCCCCCACCACACACTTTTTATGCTGTAGTTTCATGTATGAGGCAAAAAAAGGGAAAAACAAAACAAAACTAAACTAAAATAAAAAACAGAGAAGAGGATGGCACTGTTAACTGAGCACAGATGGTAAAGAAAATACAAAATATTTTGCAAAAGTTCAGAAATCAAAGAAAATAAAAGGAAAATCTTATTTGTCTAAAGCACTTTGAGTGCATGTTCAGATATATGTGTACACACATACAGAAMTATATTCATTAAAGCAGGCTGGCATGCAGTATGCACATGTTAATGACACTAGGGAAGACAGACTATYCTTCCTCTGAAAAAGTAGCAAACAAAGATTACCTTCATTAGCTCCACTTTATATCTTGAAGGCACTCAGTACTACTGAATGAAATGATCAGCTTTACTATCTTGCAGACATTCTTGGGCTAAAACTTTTTAGGTGCTGTGATCTTGCATAAAAGATTCCTCGTTTTTGAAATTTGCCRGTATCTGTGATTTCAAAAACGCTCCATATTTTAGGGAGAGAGGAGTTAAGAGCTAAGTCTGCTGATGCTGGTGCTCAAAGCACAGCTCCTTTCTTTTGCACTTTGCAACACTGCCAGGTTTCTACAGGGATGCTCTTGGAGCAAAATCCATCTCTGCACGTTGCTATCAGTTGTGCAAAAGCAGCGCTGTGACTGGGAAACACAACTGCTTCCACACACACCTTGGTAACAGCCCGTTCCAACGTCCTGCTTTACCGGCTGCAGGAGCCACCGGAGCAAGGGTGGCCAAATGTCAGCAGTGGCAAGTGCCAAGAGCACCTCTAAGACCTTAAAGTTAATTAAACARCCAGGTTAAAGGCAACTATGAGAAACTTAAACATCAAAGCTCAGGAGAAAAAAAAACCAATCTGCCTGCATGACCAGTCAAAAAATAACGCACAGTGCTCCATTAGTGAGAGCAACAAAAAGCAATTTAGTGCTAATCAATCACCAGAGAGGTGTCACGGGCAGCTGAGTGAGAAACTGCAGATCAAATCAGGCACCGCGTTAGCAAGCCCTTACGCTCAACACAGACATCAGGATAGCAGAGAGTTCTCTAAAAACACCTTTAAAAAGTTGTTCCACCGGAGGACAGTCCACATCCATGGTGGGTATTGGCTTTTAGATGGACGTAATGGGTTGTTTGCCTTTAAATGCCGAGAGCAGGTGCTCCTGACACTAATGCAAAGCAAATATATGTTCACTTACACCCAATTACCACAGGTCTGGTGCAGCTGGGTGTCCTTTCAAGCAGCCTAATCACACAGGCAGGTGCTGACTCCCAGCTAGGTGGGTAAGGCACCCACAGGTAGAAATTAGCAGGACTGTGTAACTGTACTTAAACCTTGCTCAACCTTTGTTTTTCAGGCACTGACATTATTATTATTTACAGTTGCAGTATGCTTTTTTGTTGCTCTTTTATCTTCATTTGTAATAGTCTGCTGACACATTCATAAAAACAAGGCCCCAGCACCATTACCTAGCTTATTTAAAAATAATTCTGAAGTAAGTAATAAGCTAAAACTTATTTTTAAGAGGAAATCGCTTTAGGATCATTGACAGGCTCGGAGTAAAAGTTTTCTAGAAGCCTCCTCTGCAGTTTGGTCTTTCCCTGTGAGGACACACAGACATTCACCCTCTCCATGTCCCCTCAAAGACCCTGCAATAGATTTTCCCACCCCGTTCCGTGCAGACACCGGAGCTAAGGCAGCTGCTCGCTGGAAGCGCCAAGGCCCTGTCGCTCCGCGGGCGTTTCGCGGCGTGCAGAGCAGCGTCCTGCCCAGGACCGGGGATGTGAAGGCACCGGGGCCGCGGCACCGGGCGAGAGGCCCCGCTGCCCCGGGGAGGACGGGCGGCCGCTCTCCTCACTGGCCACAGAATCGGGAATTCTCTCCGGATCGGTGTTGCCCGTTTCGGAAGGCGCTCAGCGCGCGGCTCCGGGGCAGGAACGCCTCGCACGGGGGTCAATCAACACCCAACCGGCAGCGGCGGCCGCAGGGCCCGGGCAGCTCCTTTCGGGGGACCCCC